ACCTTGAAGCCAGCCAGCAGTTTTCTAATCTGGCGAACTTTACGTGGCTTGCTTGGCTGCAGACGCTCTTCTTTCGTGTTTGTGTGGACACCCGATCCGCCGGTGATTAGCGTGGCCAATTGGATGTGCGAGGAATCTTCCTGATGGCTGTAGTCATGTTTATGGCTTTGGTTGTCGGGGTCCTGGGCGACGGTTGTGTTCACAAGCAGGGAGGCCGCTTTTGATGGAGTGGAGCTGGAGATTGGCTTCGCTTCTTGTCCCCGCACATCTGACTCAGTCCAGTTCAGAGGCTGTGACTTTGTTGAGGAGTGCACGGCTGCAGCTCTGTGCTCCGTTACGGAGATAAGCGTTGATAGCTCCACATAGTTTGGGCGCTGCTTGCATGTGGGGTTTGCCTCCTCAAGCGTTGGCCTAATCGTCTGGAACTTACACGGGAACTCCACAGCCAATGAAAATGCAAAACTTCCAGCCTCCAGACCCATTCCACCAAAAAGGTTTGCCTGGTGGTGGTATAAGTCGATACCCGTGAACACGGGGTTCACAGTCCCAGAGCTGAAAACATTGTACCGGAAAACCCAATAAATTCTAATTTGGCCATGGTGGTAACAAACTACCTGAAGTCACCACAAGTCCAAAAAGAGAGCGATCGCTGTGAAGCAGACATGTTGGACCCAGTCCACTCGGAAGCTGCTTACAGGGAATTTTACAGGGACCCATACTCCGCCTCAGTCTTAATTAGAACTTCATTGTCAGGCGCGAATTCAGAGAGAAATTGGAACCAAACCACTCTTTTTTGGCAACATAGCGCTCCCCATGGAAGGCTCCTGTTTGGAAAAGCCTGTCAGGCTGTCTAATCAGAACGCATGAAGAAGAAACATCCAATGAGCGTGTCTAAGAGACAGCTACGTCAATTGTTTCGGCCTCAAATGTGTTGATCTTAAAACCCCTCGCGGCGCTTGACGTTTTTCACCCGGAGTTTCGTCGCCCCGGAGAAGACCTCGTACTTTCTTATGCCTAGTATGAACAAGATTTACCTAATCCATATCCAGTGAGGTTATGATATGAAAATTTTCAGGTTCAAACTGCACCTTATTTGGTAGAGTGTTTTCTGATTTACGGTAGTTGAAGAATTGAGTAACCTATATCCGAGGGATATTTATGCTGCTCAAAGCACTTTTGGTGGCTCAATTTTGAGTCCTTTCGCTATCAGGCTTAATATCCAGCGATGTGAACTTAAAGAGCGGTGCTTTACCATTTCTGCACCTATGTCTTCCCAGGTAATCGGAGGTCGCTAAACGATTGGAGCAAACCCGAACGGGGAATCTTGGGTGGAGGTCTCGGTTCTGCGTATCCACCCGTCAAAACAAATCACAGTTGTGCACAAAGGTCAGGCATCCGACCGCATTTATCCGGAAAGCAGGGTCTCCATAGAATTTGGCATTAGGCTAATACTTGCCTGGGGGTATTGGAGAGCACAGTTGGGAACGGAATTCCTTTTTCAATGGTTACCTTCGCTCTGTTAAGATGTTAGAACATCCGGCGGAAATAATTTCTTCATGTGTTTTCCCCATTTATTGGATTTGGAAGTACTTTTAAGAGTACATTACCCATAACTACATCATCTTTCTCCGCGCAAACTCAAGCACAGCTATCATTCGCGCCTTGTTTGCCGAAAGAATTCCTGTTGTTGCATCGGGCGTCCGCGCGATAAATCCAAATCATTCTTCACAGCATGCAAATATATTGAATGGGTTGGTGGTAAGCACATGTCGTTTTGGTTACTCGACGTTGTTCCATATTCACGGGTATGACGAACCCATGATATGTCATGGAATGATTAATACACTTCTGGTGAGAATGAGCAGACTGGATCAAGTTAGACTTTTCTTCGGACTGAGATGGCCTTGTGCGCCCATGTAGCACACACAGCTAGGAAATATTAGACGTAATGTGAACTACTCAGACTTGGTATGGAAGTCAAGGTACCGTCATGGCGACGCCGTAGTCGGGTTCGCGAAGGAATCGTGAGAGCATTATAGGGGGTGCAGCGCGGTTCATTGTCTCTATTCAAACAAAGTAGTAAGACGGCCTAGATTGGGGAATCAAAATTGAAGAAAGATACATTAAGTGGGGACGACTGAGTAAATGTAAATGGTCATTTGAGGTGCACTCAAAATTGGGAGTAAAGGAGGGGAAAAGGGGGAAAAGCAGGTCCGAGCCCACTACAGAAGGTGGAGCTGTAGAGGTTACTCACTACATCGCGCGTCACGAACACTCAAACCACGTGGTAATTCCTGTCCCACTCGCAACCTAAGTCGACAATATATACACTAAAACTTCCCATCCATTTTTGCTTATGCGGCTACTACCTGCGTCACACGCCAGGCTAACGAAATTCAGCCACATCAGGCCAAGTTGTGTTCATGTTCGTGCAAGTACCGAACACACCTCTCTCTTCACACAATAGGTAGGCATACAACTCGGCCCAACGACACACGCGCGCACAAGACAGGAAGTCGACCGAGCTCTAAAAGTTTTCACGGCTAACTACGGAACAGCGATATTCCATACAACACAGGAACTCAGGAACCCTCAACAATTGTCCTCAAACGACAAGTCACTTTCGTGCTTATTTCACTTTTCCCGTTGTATCTATCAGTAACAAGTGCACATAGGTATTGCAATCATCAGCATTCTGGTAAAAGTGACTTTTGTTAGCGCTTGTCACCTTCTGGTAATCAAAGTAAGTACGTTACAACTAGAGCACTAACAGAGAAAGGGACTGAGCACGGGGCAGGGAATATCCTTGTGAGGCTATATAGATAAAGGGAAATCTGTCGGCCGTGAATTCTTTCAAAGGGTAAACAAAAGACACGACATGATTGAGATGATGGATGGCCAAAGACGGACGGCGGCTGAAAGGCTAAAATGGTAGGATGAATACCAGTGGGTACACGAGTCGCATGAGAGGATGTATAATGAGGATTCATGGTACATTGGCGGCATGGAAGACATCAACAGTGGATACAAATAGTTCGTATCAGGAGTGGATCTTTCAGTATATGTGCTCGGATACTCTAGACACGATTGTGAAAAAGAAGATAGATGACAATACGTCAACACAAACGACAAGTTAGTCGGGGCACAAACCCACCTGTAAAGCATGCAAAAGAGCTTGAGCATAAGCTAAAGTAGGGAGTGTCTTTTAACGCGTCAAGTGTATCTAGGATTTTGGGAATTTTTAACTGTGGCCGGATACTGAAGATCAAAGTGTCGGTTTAGAAACGCAAGCACCGGAGCTGAAAATCGTTACCGAAGAACGTAGGTTGTATTCGGTGAAATTGCTACTGTAGATGAGTATAAAATGATTGAACGTTCGGATGAAGACAAGGGAGATGTTTTCTTCTGGATGAAGTTTTTCCTTGCACTGAGAATTACATTTCCAAGCAGGCAAGCCACAGATCGAACCAATTCACTTGATGGGAAATGTTGTACGAGTTTAAACAACACAGTTATTCAATTCCAATACTCCAAATGAGATAAACTTCTACCGGAGAGCTGTTCTTCTAAGACCCACTGGCACATGCCATTGTGTCACAAGAACGATGGAATGCCCAAAATCGGCCTTTGGAGTTAGGCACCGTTAGTAACTTGGAAAACGGTGTCCCCGAAGAGCTCACTTGTTAACACTGAAGGCATTTGAAACTTATTAAAAATCTCCTGTTTGTTTGGCAATTTTGTCTCCATAAACAATGGTAGAGTGTGACCTTCAATACTCACACTGGATACTGCCACACGTCCTTTATAAGGAAGCAATTTTAGATACTTTGCTGTCCTTACCAGGGACCTAAACTTCTACGATTTCTGTGCTTCTTTACGATCGAACTAAGCGCAGTAAAACTCAAATCTTGTATGTTGTCGTCGGTTCATATATATGATGAAATCAATTGTTTGTGAGATCTCTGTTGATCAGTGCTGATTAGTAAGTTAGGTTGTAGTTCCACATCTAAACCTGAGATTGCATTAGAGACTTCAGAGTAAACATAGTAATTATCTGGACAGATAATTTGAACTCACTAGAGCGGATGGCATACTGTACCCAGACATGGCAAAAATAACCCGATTGCCAAACTTAAAATTGGGATTCAACATGTGGCACTGAACACACTGACACATTTCAGTATCCCGAATATCTCCAAACGCGATGCCCAAATACAAAGTGGGTTTTCGAGTTGTACTACAGCATAAGATATGAAGTGACAATCGAATCCTCTTAAATCCAACTGTCGGATGTCAAGTAAATCGCTTCTACAAAACTAGCCACTACCATTTAGAGGAAAAATTATTCCAAGTTACGGGTCATCTGCACCACTTGTCGGCATATACGAGCAAACTTGTTTGCTAGACGAAAACCATTCAGTGATCCTTTCCCTTTTGAGGAAAATGCACCGATCAAACATCCGAGAACGTATTAGCGGGTCTCCTTGGGGGCAACGGATCGTTACTAGCAATTTGAACTCTACCTCACTCTCCTTGCAGCGCTGTAATCACCGGAAACAACCAGATATACAATGTCAGCTACTGCTGAAACCCTTGACATGTATTTATAGGCCCGACTTTGTGTTCAGATACGCTTTAAGAAACGGAAACATCTTTGACCAGATAATGACGTCATAAGCCCAAACGACTCTCAGACGAAGTATCAATTCCGGCGAATACTCTGACACCTTAACAACTGATTAGTGATCTAACCCGATTCATGTACTTGATCGGTTGACTTTCTTATATTTGCTCTCACCAGAACTATCAGTTCTCCATTCCCTTCTGAACAAAAACAGAGCACAATTGGAGAGTAAATAACACACCATCCAGCTAGATGAAAAGTGCATAGGTCAGGAGAAAATACGAAAATAGGGGAAAACCCATCCGCATTGATAACAGCAAAAGAATCGAACGATGAATAAATTTTATCCCAATTGACATGGAAAATAAGAAAATAATGCGATCTGTAGGGTAGAAATTCACGGTTCTGTAGTCATAGCCAAATAAGCAGGTGTACGACTCAGCATGGAACGAACAGTAGTGGTGTTTCTCACGGTAGAGAACACCTGCAAGAGTGTACGGAATTTTTTGAGGTTGTCTACATCATTCAAAGAGTAGGAGCGTTGTTTTAGTGAGTCTTCCATGCTCTTGAAATAAATAAATAAATAAATAAATGGGCATATTTGGACCAATCAATAACGCATTTTCAAACAGCTGACACAAAAGCAGAAGTGCTGATGATTAATACATATACGTGAATATACAACCAACCGTTTCATTTCAACGGAACATCTACTGGACTAATCAAAATGGTTCTTCCCCTTATACTCCTTCTATTGTTTGTTCCGTAAAAGTAACTAATCAAATGTAGATTATATGGTGAACACAGATCAACAAAACCGAAGAAGTTTAAAGATGGACCTTTCACTGACTCCTGGTATGCGAATGTGACGAAATTGCATATTAATGAAGCCACAAACAAGGTAGCCCAGTTCTGAGTGAAACGCCATCGATCAGCACCAAAATGACAGATCACGATAAAAGACATTCCGCTGCTATGTGAGATCATCCGAAGTCCTGATGCGGCTACAATGTTCATCTCATTGGTTGAAAATTCAGGTTGTCATATTATTCAGATGAAATTAGTTATAGTCGGGCTATAAGGATCACCAAAAAATCCACCAAGAGCATTACTTACATGTAGTACTCTTGGTTGAGACTGGTGTTCCTCCTGAACAGGAGCAGAAGGAATATTCCTAGTCCTTCTCACGTGTGGTTTGGGCACCATTACAACTACGCCATTATTTTTCGGGAACAATATCAGAAACCACGAATCACAAATACGTCTAAGAAGACGTTCCAGTGATTTAATTACGGTGTGAAGCACTTATGCAGCTACACGCACAAAACTGCCGTGGTGCGATTGCAGGCACCTCCAAACATCTTCAAAGAGAGACGGTCTATCAGTTCCAGATGTTTCTGAGTCAGTTGAAAAACAGACTGGGTCAGAATATCTCACCCCTGAATATGCATACAGAAAAGTGCTCACACGCACACAGGCAGTAAACATTTTCAGTATACTGTCCAAAATCAACAAAATACCGGCACAAATACGAATTGCTGAAATCCGTGGAAGTAATCTTTGACTTTTTAATTTACAAATAGGTCCTACAGAGGGACTGGTATTTTAGGTTAAAGTAAGAACTTTGTCACAGAATATATATATATAT